TAAGTAGAGATGTGGTGGGGGTTGAAGTTAGTTATGATAATATTGATAATAGCTCTCCTTTTACATTAACTCTTGAATTTCCCTCCAACCTTTAAGGCTTAGAATTGCAAAACAACTAAGAATGCTAACACCATGGATTGCTCCCCATTCTCTTCTCTCACACACTTTATTAACTCTCTCCTTTTCCATAATTCTCCTTCTTTGCTCCCTTTTTTTATCCTCCATCTTTTTTTTTTACTCATTCTCAGCAATCCCTGGTCCTCACAACTGAATCATTTTGGATATCTTTTTATTCCGCTTCTGTAACACGTTGCTTACTTGGGCCATCTACATCTTGATTTCCTGAAGCTGCTTGATAAAGGTCAGGGTCTTGGGCCCTTCCTAGACTCACTAATCTCTGGGGGTAGGGGGTGGTTATTCTTAGGCACATTAAAGTGCCTAAGAGAGTCAGTTCCAAACTTTATAGTTCTTTTCACATAGTTTATATTCATAAGATGTAAAATAAGATGTAATTTCATATATTCATATAATACAAATGTATGTTCAACAGTCATACATATACATTCTGCCTCCATATGAATGCTTACCTAGAGCAATGATTCTCAATCGAGAGTGATTTTGCCACCAAGGGGACATTTGACAATGTCTGAGGTATTTTTGGTTATGGCAATTGGTGGGGAAAGTACTACTGGCATGTAGTGAGTAGAGGCCAGGGATGCTGCTAAATATCCTACAATACACAGAACAGCCCCTGCAACAAAGAATTATCTGGTTCAAAGTGTCCGTTATGCCAAGCTTAAGAAACTCTGATTTAGGGAAAGAGCTATTACTTTGCCCATTAGATTGTAAACTCCTTGGGTTTAGAATGAGTTAGGGGTGTTCAATAAGTCACAGAGAATCCGGAAAATAGATGATAAATTCAATGTAATCAAGTTTTCTTTTGAAGAGTAATCATATTAATTTCCTAAGTTCCTCCCCTGAAATTATCCAGAAGGCAAATATCACTCATTAGAAGATTCTAGCTTGTCAGACAATAGGAGAAAAATGCTTCACAAGGAACATATTTCCAGAAATGAGGCACTGAGAGAGCATGCTCAGAAGCAGGGGTGCAGGCAAATGAAGAATGCTGACAGCCAAAAATATTGATATTATTAAAAATAAGGATAGCTTGACAGACACTGAGTCCCTGTGGCTATGTGATGGCCTTTAGACATCAAGGAACAGGGGTAAACATCAAGGGGTAAGGTAGCTTATATTTTATTGGTAATAAATGAGCTGAAAGATCATATTTTAAATGATATGCCTTCAAGCATGTGCTATATCAAGGTGTTGACAGCATCATTTTTCCAAGAGATGAGCAAGTAAATTTAAGTAGTTTCCAAGTTGTAAGTGTCTTTATTACCAAGGAGCAGTGGGATGCAAAGCTTGGCCAGTGTAACAAATGATTGATAGCTTACTCTTAACACTCCTGCCTTTATTTTCCCCTGCACGGCTCATTATTCTGCTGCATTAATTTAAGCTTTCCTGTTGAAATGAATTAGGGGCTTAAATTCTCTTATCATCCCTATGGGAACCTTGATTGTTTATTTGTAGATGACAATAATTGTTTTTATTGATCCCCAAACGTGGAAAGTATAAAAAGTGCTATGGCTGGTGGCCAGCTGGTACATAGTTCATGCTGTGTGCATGAGTGACAAATTACGAGACAATATTTGGTCCCAGAGGAGACCCTTTAAGAATTTTTTTTAAGGCATTTGATAGTTATCATTAGGTCTCTCTAAGCTGAAAAGTGTTAACAATTTCACGTACATCAGCTCAATCTTTTTGTTGTTGTTCTTATTGAACTCCAAAAGATCTACTTGGGTATAATTTATACTTCCTCATTTCCAGTGTGCCCAAACAGCAGCATGGGAGAGTTTGGAAATGTGCAATTACAGGAATTCACAGAGCCAGTGCTACCCAGGCCAGTGAAGCTCCCTTGGAGACTGAAATCACCAGGGCATTTATTCAGAAGAATTTCTGGGTCAATCCAGCAATTTCAATGATACTACTGCAAGTATCACTGTACGGACATTAACTTTGAGTGTTTTGAATAAGGACCACTTTGCTAGCCCCAGCATGTATTATGGGTAGGAAACCTCATGTGATTTCTCATCCCAAATATATCAGACGCATCAGGGAAAGAAAATGCAACTGTCTCATTAAGTGCTGTTTGTAGGCCAGGGCACTTGAGCAGTATGAGCCTCCCCAGTCTGAATTAAATGCAACACAGCTCACTGGAAGAGCTTTTGGGCTAATTAGCATGTGTCTGTCTTCCCAGACACAAGATAAATCAGGTTAGGCCTAAAAGGAATCAGATATCAGAAATATAGTAGAATTTCCTTATTAGTTATGGTGATCAGTAGCCGAGTGTAGGTTTATAGGAGAAGAGCTAGACATGTTCTGCTATGCCAAGAAATCTAGATGGAAGGTAGGAAATTTAGTCTTTTTTAGCAAAGTTTCTGCACAATTGCCAGACAACTTGGGATGATCCAGATGCCCCTGTGGGGAGAGTTTTAAAGAGATAGACAATCATCTGTTTTGGATAGATTGAGTCATCTTGGCGAAAGACAAACACAGAGATCCAGCTTTTCACTGAACAATTCCATGGACGATTTGGAACCTGGAAAGCCCCCCAGTCAGAGCTCTAGCTACACTGACCACCGTTCCCCCTCAATTCACTGCTCTTCTCATCTGTTTCTTGAACATACCAAGCACACTTCCATATTTGTAGTTTGCCTTTGCCATTTTCTCTGCCTGGAATGCTTTTCCCTCATACGATCCACATGGCTTCTGTTCCCCCTTTCTTCCCCCCAGATCTTTGCTCACTTTATCAAAGTCAATATCTCTGACCAACCTTGATAACATACCAAAAAAAAAACCAAACCCATTGCCATCGAGTCTGTTTTGACTCATAGTGACCCTGTAAGACAGGGTAGAACTGCCCCATAGAGTTTCCAAGGAGTGCCTGGTGGATTGGAACTGCCAGTCTTTTGGTTAGCAGCCATAGCACTTAACCAGTACGCCACCAGGGTTAGCCACCTCCAAACCCAATCCTCTGGCCTTCATGAAAACAGAGGCTTTGTCTGTTTTGACAGCTCACTGTATCCCCAGTATCTAGAACAGTGATTGGCACATAGTAGGTGTTCAATGAAAAATTGTTGAAGAGGTGGGTAACATAGGTCTTACAAAGGAAAAATCTTGGCTCATGATGGCTAGAAATTGGTAAGGGAAAACTTTTCAAATGCTTTTGTAGACCAAATCATTCACCTACACTTCATCCAATTTACACTTAGGAATCCAACAAGTCTTCTTAGAGAAGTTGATATGTCCAGGTAAGCATGATAACACCATTATCATTAGTTCCCATCTGAGCACCAAGCATCTTTTAAAATATCTGTCCTCTGATATATAGGACTAATTTGCATCTTACAGAAAATCAAATAAATTATTTTTTACCTAAAGGGAACAGGATTATTTGACTTCAGATAATTGCCACATGGTTTCTCTTCCACACAACATAGCTTCGAGGCTTAAGGTAGCAACAGTGAGAGCATGCCTATAAATTATTCAGAGATAATTCAAAATAAGTGTATATCTTTGACAGATTGTCAGGTTTCTTCCTGCTTTTTATCCTGATAACAAGTGCTATGTTTTTGATAAAATGATGCTCATTTCTCACCACAATTTATCGTTTCTGTGTTGACTGTGTTGTTTTATTTTGTTTGTTGTTGTTGTTTGTTTTTGTCCCCCCCCCCCCTCAACAGAGTCCAGTCTGGCTCTTATCTCAGCACGGGGTGGTTTACCTTCATTCTGGCCATGGATGCCTGTTACGGCATCCACGTCTACGGGATGATAAATGACACCTACTGCAAGTAAGATCACAGGAAATTACTTTTATGCATCTCCAATTCTGAGATCCTGTCAAAGTATCACAATTCATTTTAATACCATAAATCTGAAAAACAGATAAAGCAACAATTATTTCCCAGTGTTCTTTGCAGGCATGACATTTTATTGTCAGTGCATCAAGCTGTGGCTTTTAGGGGTGATAAAAAGAAAAATATTTACCACAGTCTAATGTCAAATGTCACAAGGAACATTTTTTCCTTAATCAGTGGCATATCAGGGACTTGTGGGGCTTGGAAAGACAGAACACGTTTAGTGGTTATTTAATTTGCAAAGCAAGTTTGACATTTCTGCTCCTTTAGTGGCTTGATGGATGCCTATCTACTCACTGGTTATATTTGATCACGAAGGACAAAATGTCCAGAAGCCTCAGAGAAACTGACAGATTAACCAGAATTCCTGGAAATTATATTTCACTAATAAGTGAATACCTGCCAGATCCCTATTTTAAAACAGTGTGTTTATCCACAGTGTATCCTCACTGGTAGGATAGTTTTTAATTAGATAATAAAACATGTCCTCCACGCTTCATCAGGATAATGGAATATATTTTCCCACCAACAATTGGTACAATCTAATTCAGACAGCATTTTAATCATATTGTCAAAGTGGTAACTCTCAGCCACAATCTTCGAACAATTATCAAATATTTCTACCCTAACTATAAGCTTAATAGAACACAGATGAACCAAATATCTTACTCTGAAAAATCACCAAGTTTCTTTAAACTCTGCAAAACCATCAGGCTATCCGGAGTTTGCTTCCAGTATACACCATTTCCTTCTTCAAAGGATAGCCATATGTTGGAATATAATTGGTGTAATATATAAATTTTATTTGATCTATTAAAGCTCTGAGGGCTTGGTACATCTTCCTAAAAGCTTTCATACATAATAGATTTAAATTCAGTTCATGGACAAGAATCATATATGGGTTTGTAAGTAAATGCATTTACTGGGCACATAATGAATTCTTGTAAAGCAATGCTCCATTCTTCATCTCCATCTCTCTCTCTCTCTGTTTTTTTTTTTTTTTTTTCTTTTCTTTTCTAGGACAGAAGGGTATAGAAAAGTCCCCTACCATTATTATGAACAAGGAAGAGATGAGTGTGATGAATATTTTCTTCATGAACATGCCCCATATGGGGGGCATAGATTTATCACTGAAAAGAAAGTGTTTGCTAAATGGGCCAAGAAACACAGGATAATATTTACACACCCAAACTGGACAGTGTCTTGATGTTGAGTTTTGTTTTGTTTTGTGTCTTGCCACACCATTCGATGCTATCATAATCGCAACTATGATGCTGATGATCCTCATGCTGATGATAATAATGATGAGGATGATGATCAGGACAGCGACAATGATGATCAAGTTCCTGTACCTTCTCAGACATGGATGGTGACTCTGCCAGTAATTTGAACTTGGATTCTGTGAAGGGTGGTTGTGCTCATTATGTTCTTTCTGAAGGTTCAACACTACATACTGCACTTTATAATTTAACTGGAATTGAAATGAAGGACAGTGACATGACAGCTATGACCTAAGAAATGGGAAGATTATCCTTCAAGATGGCTGCCCAGAATTCTTGAACTGTGAGTAGCTTCCAAAAGCCATGGGAATTGGCCACATGAGGCAAAGTTATTGACTCTACAGCCTCTTGAACCTGAGCAGCTCCACCACCTTGAATAATGGTTGATTGTCAAACACTGACTCAAGAAATGGTATCTGGGTACAAGTATTTTACTATAGTTACTAGTTAGCCTGGCAGAAGGGAAGGTATCTCTCCCTGACATACCATCTTCATACAGTACTTCTTACAGCTGAAGCCTCTGTTTAATTACCTAATTAACAATGAAGACACCATGGATACCCTACCCAACAGGATTACTTGACTATCTCAATCATTTAATTCAAAATGGACCAATTATCAAATCTTGATGATTTTTCACTCTAGCCACTCCATTCTTACTACTCCAAATAATATAACTAAACATGTTACTAGAATGATCTATATTAATGTTTAGTTATTTTTTGTTGAGTCCTAAATAATTCATAAGGCTATTTAATATGTAAGATATCAACTTTAACATTGTAATAACATGTACTGTGAAAGCATTCCTAAAACATAACCAAAAGGGTTTACTAACTCTGCTTCAGTATCCAACAACACAAAATTTTGTGCTTTTTAAAATCATGAAATAGGGAAAGCAAAGCATATTTTTACATCAATTTGTATACGATCATACTTCATAATGTATATTTGTATATTCAGATTTCTATTTTATAAGTCCAAGATGTGTCTCTACATACATAATATTATCATTGCCAAGTGCCAACTGTCAGACATGGAGAGGAGATGATTCCTTGTATTAAATCTGACCAGAGCTTCTGCCTTCTTGGGGTTTATTTTCCCCACAGTGTATCAGTTGTTATACCATAACAACAATAATAATGACTTTAATGTCCAATGTGCTTTGTCATTTAGAGTCTTTTCACCTATGCTACCCCAAGTGATGCCCGTGACCACCCTGTTGGGCCACTGTGTTGGCATTCTGCCACTTCTTTAGCAGATGCTCTGTAATTTGTTCATCATTCTCATATACTCCAGATTGCTTCCTTTGCTAATATTTGTATAGAATAGCATTTACGTAGACTAGTAACCAATTGATTTCAGTGCCAAAAACAATGTATTATGTCAGGATTATGTAAAAAGTGTCACAAAGATGGTCTTGGCCATAGACTAGGACCTTTGTGAACTTAAGTACTTATTTTTTTTTTTAATGGCTCTATTTCTATGGGGGAAAAGATGAGGAAGCAGGGACAATGGCAGGGAATGAAAGCAGAGAAATATAAAATTTCTGTCCCAGGTTTGAGATAACTTTATTCTCCAATTACTCATTGCTCGTTAAGTATTAGAGGACCGATTTGCTTGAGAGAGTAGCTGAGAGTCCAAAAAACATTCTTGCAGAACCACTGGCGAGGCAAAAGCCAGGTTTAATTATTAGTTGATATTTACAGAATGTTTTAGAGGCTAGAAGTGATGCTCTTTTCACCTCAGGAGCATTTTACAGCTCTTTGCAAGTGCTAAGTACTATGATTAATTATTATTAAAATATGCCATCTTGGATGAATCCTCTTTCATGCTCCCTTCTGCCATTTTGATACCCCAATACTCAGATCTATAAAAATTACCAAACACCAATTCCATCGTTGGAGGAAGTTGTTATTCTTTTGTTGTTTCCTTTCAGTTCTATGAATGTTAGTTTTTTTTAGAGTTAATGATGGATAGAAATGTTCGCTCAAAGAAAAATAAACAGATACAAACGTTAAAACTGTAGTACAGACCTTTATTTTCTCCCCACTGTGATAGAGAAGTTACACTTTTAAATAAAAGGGAATACTGGATAGAATGCTTGGGGGAAGGAGATAACTGAATTTATTTTGTTTTCTGGTAAATGGAGGACCAACTCTGTTTTAGCCCTGCTGAGGAGAAACTTGAAAACTTGCTCGCTCTCCTGCCTCACTGTAGCTTTCTCTGATGAAGGAGACTTCTGCAGTACCTGGGGGCTAGAAGTGAGTGTCAGTATCCCTCACTCCATGGCAGTAGGTGTGTGTGGAATAGGTACTTTCTCTACACTTACACTGGCAGTGTTTCCTTTGGAGGGGCTGTTGTTGTTAATTGCCGTTGATTCCAACACATGATGACCCCATGTGTGCAGAGTAGAACTGCTCCATGGGGTTTTCAAGGCTGTGACCTTTCAGAAGCAGATGGCCAGGTTTCCCGTCCCTCCCCAACCTTCCCCTTCCTTTCCTTTTTCTCTCTTTTCTCTTTTTAATTAAACCGCAGCTCTATGCTTTTTATTTTTGTTTTCTCTTGTCTCTTTCTTCTAAAAGTAGGAAACAAAAACACATTATTCTCAATTTTGAGACCTGGATGGTTGATTTCCAGTATAATCAGAATTTTGATAGAATCTCATAACTTATTTTTCTTAATGGTCTCTGCTTTCATTTTCTATTCTTTACCCCCAGCTTCCTAATTCTAGTAGAAATGCAAAGTCTAATTTCTTACATGTTGAGAAGAAATTTTCCATCTAAGATTTACTGATAGAGAAAAGCATAGCAAAGGACCAATTCAAGAAGAGTGCTCTTTCATGCAAAATTCTGGTCAATTCCACAGGCTCCAGTCCACTAAAAGAAATTTCATTTAGCACCTAAATACTGGCAAATCTAACTACGCTCACTCATCACTGATGTATCTGTAACCAGAAAGTTAATTAACATCTGGAAAATATAAAAATATTTTATTATCATCCAAGGCTCTAGGCAAATGTACCATGGAAAATGGCCCCAATTTGCTGGGATCAGCATTAAAACATGCAAGCTAAAAATACTACAGTAAATATTATTTTTACTAGAAATCCTAGAAAAAGCAAGGGTTCTAGAAAAAGCAAGGAAATGTAAAAGTTTTTGTTAAATGAATAGATAAATCATTTCTAAGTTAACCCAGTGATAAGTAGTAATGATTTACATTGTTATAATGGTAATGTGAATAAGAAACCTTTTAGAGTACGATTTTACATAGCTACGAAACCTATTAAAGAAAATGCAATTTGGGGTGATGCTTGTATGTATGTACAGTGATTCCGTGTGTGTGCACACATGTGTGTGCATGTGTGTATACACACAGAAGCTCATAGGTACACATGGAGACATATATTTAATTCTATATTTTCCACTGATGTGTATGAATCACAAAAAATACTATTTTTAGACTTGATTTTGAATCTTGATGAAAAAGGAAAGCAAAAAATCAAAATTAAATATACCTTAAATATTCTGATTGCTTTGAGAAAGAGTACATAAAATCATATTCAATGGCTGGCCGGAAGAATAAAGCTAGGGGAGGCGCTAAATCTAGAACTGCGAACACAATTAGATGCCACAGTTATCACAAATCAGACTTGTAAGTATAGCAATCTGTATAGCAGGCTCTGTCGATTGCATCTCTGCTAAAGTCACAGTGAAAAACATTGCATCAAGCTTCATTCACACTGAGATAAATGAATGTTGCCCCCTCCCATTCAAATTAGCCTGTCTTTAGCATAAGCAAGACACAGATTTGCATGATTTTTATTCTATGGCTACAGAACTGTGACCATTGTGAAAAGAGAAAAATGTATAAGGAGATTTCTGTTTGAGGATTTGGTATGAATCAGCTTATATGGGAGCAAGAGTCTGAACTGGGGTCTGAGGTTCTCTCTGTTGACCCTTCAAGATCAGAAGAGAATCATTAACTTCTTTAGGAGAAATATGACTGTAAAGTACTTCACCTGGTGGTGTTAATGGGATGTTAATTATAAACTCAGTTTAATTTTGATAAGCCAGAAAATATAGTCAAATAGCTTACATTTTTTTTTTGTTAAACAACATACCCATTTAGCATTTAATGTGCTATGTTGAAGCAAAGAACAAACATTGTCCAGTGTCAGTTGTCTGGATGTCTTAGCACAACAAAGACTTTAAAGTCAGGGCGGTGAGGGAAAAAATGCTTTTTCCCTTACTGCATTTTTAAAAAGCATGACTTCATCATCTTAGTAGTGTACATATAGCTCTGATGACTGAAAGACCTAGTGTGTAGCCTTTGCAAGTAGTCTAGACTTTGAAAGCTGAAAGGTCCCTTAGAGAGACCAGCCAGTTGAACCCTCACATCTTGGATTTGAGGAAACATACCTAGAGTGGTGAAATCAATTGCCTTTGGTTACAAAACAGACTAATAGGAGTACTACGATTCGAATTCATGTCTCATGTCTTCTTCTTTAGTGCTTTTCCACTACATTTCCTTGCTTTTTATTTTTTTTAAGCACAGAATAGTAGCTGGAAAAATGCACACGTGGCTTCGGAAGAGAGTGTCTTCCTAGAAACAAAGAGCTCCAATCAGTGTTGCTTACGCTCACAATCTTAGAAATTCTCACACCAAACTGTAGAAATATCCGCAGAATTGAAGGACAATATAAAAGTAATTGTCTTGGCTCCATTCTCTACATCACTAAGACTAGGCCATGTTCATTATCATGAAATTCTAGGACTAGTTTAATGACTGTGAAAGTGAGTTTTCTTTCTTGTTACTGAGGATAATTGAGTCCTGGAAACACTCGAGGGCTGTTGAGTGATGGAGGTTGCCTGGTGAAACCGGCAGGCCAGAGCTGAAGTGTCCTCATCCTCAAAACAATTCAGCGGCCAGGGATGGTGCAATAACCCACCCGCACCAGCTGGTGACATGCTGCGCTTTGGTTTCATGCTTCTCGGTGCCTTGCACATGATTTTTGAATCCACATATCCTTGTGAAAGGTAAATCAAAGCCCAAAATGCCCCAAAAAACTCGATCAGCATGCAAGTTTGGAAAGTTTTCTTTTCAGTCCACTTACATGATACTGTTAGAAAACGAGAATTTTGAAACTATATGCATTGGGCCCTGAAAATGGCTTCTTTGGCTCAGAAATAGCATATTGTTCTGTTGCTTGTTTTTGCTGAACCTTAAAGAAATCACTAGAGGAAAATTCCATGTAAATTGCCAAGGCATCAAATCAGAACTGTCCTTGGGCATTGTAACACTGCAGAAAACCTCATTTAGTTTTTTTTTTTTTTTTTTTATCTCTGCTTTTTATTTTATTTTATTTTCAGAATAGGGAAAATTTGTTTTTGGAGGAGAAAAGCTCTTCCTTCTTTACACA